TATTGGTCGTTAATGTAAGTTCTATTGATGTGTGCTTTGCTATTTGTAAATTACATTTAAGAGTAATTTCAACAAAATATTTATAATTACAAGAATAAAGATTAAATATGAATCGTACTAATTAATTTTTGGATCTGATTAACAAGAGATTCAATCCTGTTCAGAGTTGTCTATACTTTTTTTACAAGCGGAAAGGACTGACAATTTGGTAGAAAGTTGAAAAACTCTCGCAGGGTTAGAAGCAGTGACCGATGGAAAAGAATGAAATCCAGCATGATCAGCCGTTGCCACCAGACGGTCTCTCCTGAATCCTATTCATCTCACAATGAGATGATTGTCTGCTTATTTTTATGACACTTTCTGCCAGAGAAAAGTAAATAGTGTTTCAAAATCCAGTTATTGTACAAAGTTATCACGAAGTTGAAAAATAAAGGGAAAGGTTTTTTTGACACCACTTCCTAATCTAGAGCTCTGATCCTGGTACCAAACTTACGAGAAAACATCTTCAAGTGATCCTCTCGGTTGGCCTTCATATGTTTCTAATACTAGAGAATCACTAGAGTAGCATAACCTCTAAAGGTTTTCTACTCTAGCTTGGGTTTTGTTAAGATAATGAATTTTTGGTAGATTCATCATGAAGGAGTTTAGGTTTTGAAAAAACTCAAATTTGAAACTTCGAATTGAAAGTTTACATTCATAAAAGTCTAGTCACGACTTTTGTGTACAAAGTTTCGGATTCGAAATTGCCAAGTTTAAGTTTTTTTTTTGACAAGTGCACTCCGACAAGATAAATCTTCTAAAAAGTCACTATATCAATCAAATTTAAGCACGAGCAGAAAACGTTTAGAGGTAAGCGGAGCTGGTCATCTATGAATGTTTGTATAAAGCTAACATTTATTCATTACTATTGTCTGTAAATTTGAAATGCTTTACTTTGTTACTGCGATCTGCTTAATTATGAAAGTTCCTTCTTTGTTTGAAGTTCAAATAAGCGTGAGAAAAATCAATTATTTTAGTTATGCTCCTGATTCCAACGTCGATAGGATCGAGACTAGTTTATATGCCTTGTCAAGATGAAATACAAGTCAGGTCTATATTTGATCTGTTTTTTTTTTATGTATACCGTATCAGTTGAATAGAGACATATATTCTTGGTAACTATAAACACTATATGAGATTATTAATAGGGATGGACCAATTCGAAGAATTGGAATTAATTATTGTAGCATTATTAATTTTTCACATATTTACCAAAATTAATTATTCGATTCTAATTTCTTCAAGACGTGCATTACTCCATGCATTTTCACCGTATTTCTAACCGCCATCGTGTCTCTCTTACTATTTTTTCCGTTTTTTAAGCTTACGAAAATTAGTGACGTAATGATACCGTTTTTTTTATTGTTTACGGTCCCATTTCGTGAACCTAGATATTCAGAAGAGTAGAACCATCTATATCTTTTGTTTACATATCTATCATATGATACCAATCACTAGATAACATTCAAGAAATTCCGATATGTTCAATTGACAACAACTGAAACTTGAAAGTAAAAATCTGACTAATAAGAAATACACTCAAAAGTAGATACTTGATAAAACATAACTTGTGTTGTGATAATCGATTATCAGTGCAAATTTCTGACTTTGGCATATTATTTTCTTTTTTTATTTTGAAACTTGAAAGAGAAATTGTTTTCATTAAGATAATATATTTGTTTAAATATACATCTTGTTTGATTAAAACAGGTGGCTAGTGAATGTTCGCTTACGGATGCACATTTTGAAGCTCTTGTTGGAATTCAACAAAAAATCAATAACGGTGGGCGAAATATCTTTCAAGTGCTTGCTTTTCCTAGTAACCAATTTGGCTATCAAGAGCCTAAAGTAAATAAATTTTATCAAATATTTTTTATTTTATTATATTTATAAAGGATGATGCACAAATTCAATCATGGGCTAAATATATGTTTGATATCAATTTTCCTATTTTTGCCAAAGATGCTGTTATACGACAACATGATGACGATAATGAATTACCAGCTGTTTGGAAATTTTTAAGTGGTAAAAAGATATATCTTGTAATAAATTTGTTTAATTGAGAAGTTTCTTTGTTCTTTTTTTTTAGAAAAAGCTGAACCACCATCATGGAATTTTTGGAAATATTTAATTGATCCAAATGGTAAAGTTATTAAAGCATATGGATCAAACATGCATATTCGTCAAGTTTATCCCGATATACAAAAATTACTTGTTAAACATAAATTAATTGATCAATCAGAATTATAATCAATTACGCAGTTCATCGTCATGGTTATTTCATCCTTAGATAAGATTGAAACATAAGATAATGAGTGTTATATTTATTCTGTTTGTTATTATTATTATTATTATTTATATTCTAGTCTCAATATGTTATTCATGCATGCAGTTATGTGAACTTTTTTTTTTTTTTTTTTATAATCAAAGACTACTGATGTTTGCTGTTGTTTGAAAAATATTATACGAACATGTTGTTTTTTTGAATAAAATTAACAAATATAAAAGTGAATTTTGTTCTTTATTGCTTATTTAATTGGTATATTTATTTTGATGTTTTCACATGTTTAAATCTTTTCATATATATTATCAAATTAACTTCAATGAATTTATTGTAAATGTTATGAATGATCGATAACATATACAACTGATGAATTATATTCGAAAGATTTGACTAAACAAGATGAGTGGTAATGAATTAGATTTTGATTAAATTCTTGTATTGTTCACTTTTTCTTACTTTTCTAATAGTTGAAAGCTATTCTTGATGTTCTATTGCTTATTTATTTTTAAATGAACTTCTTTAGATTAATAAGTTTTTTTTTTCTAATTGTGTCTTTCTTGTCGATGACGTCTTCAAATCCTACTAGTCATTTTGTTATTATACCTAATCGTCCGATTGTTCAAAAGAATGGTGAAATTGTTCAAGGGTCACTAAAACTTTACTATTGGGAATGGCAAGGTCATGAACCTACAATATTTTTATGTCATGCTTGCTCATTTCATGGTCGATGTTATGATCGTATTGTTAATGAAGCTTTACATGATTTCCATGTAATTGCTATAGATTTACGTGGTCATGGTCGATCACAAACACATCCTCCTCCTTATCATGTTCGATGGCTCGGAGAAGATGTTTTACAATTTATTGAAACACTCAGTCTTAACAAGAATAACCTTATTGGTATTGGCCATTCTATGGGTGGATATGCACTAACATATGCTGCAGCAATAGCATCAACACGTCTATTTCGATCCTTGCTTCTATTTGATCCTGGTATTATTTCTCGTTCATTGTATGGCATTGGTGATAACGGGCATAATTCATTAGAATATATACTTCGTCGAAAAAATCAGTGGTTATCTGTTGAAGATATGTTTGTAAGATTAGAAAGACGTGAACCATTTTCACGATGGCAAAAAGATATTCTTCGAAATTATTGTACTTATGCATTGGATGAAAATTTTAAACTTACATGTAGTTCAGAAGTAGAACATTCTCTGTATCAATCAAGTTTACAAACTGATTCAAATATTTATCCATTTATTGAACAATCAAAATTTATTAAAGATATTCCAATACATATTGTAAGATCATCACTTCCACTAAGTTTAGGTCAATTTGAAACATCACCAACAGCACCTGATCTTGTAAAATGGTTTAAAAAGGGACGAGACACACAATTAGAAAATTCTAAACATTTTTTTCCAATGGAACAACCTGAAATAATGATTAATTTTGTGAAAGAAATGATTAAAGAAAATATACGTTCGCAACTTTAAATCATTCTAATAGAATAACTGATAAACATATGTTACGGTCTAAATAGGATTTCAAATTTTCATCGAACTGTTTGTTTTTCGACGAATTTCAGAATTGGGTTAGAAGTAAATTGAGATAAATATATAAGAAGATAGCTCGAGATTTTACTTTTCGTAAATGATGTCAGTTTTTTATTTGACATCTCTTTTTTTCGAAAAACTTCTCTCATTTTCTCTGGAAGAAATGTAACTTCTTCAGATAAAGTGGAAAATCTTTTTTCGCTTTTTCTCTGCTTGTGTTTTTTTTATCAAGCATCCCATAGTTCTCGAAGACGCTTCATTGTAATCAATGGTTTTGTTTTTTGTTTGACAAATCATGTCAAATTGCAGGACATGGCACACAGCTCGTTTTTTGAATTAACATTTGTTACTATTATCTAAAAGAGTACTTTTATCATTAGAGCATCATTTTTTTTGAGACATTGAATTTTTTCCCCTTAAAAATTAAGAATTTATTTATAAAAAGGCTTTGTCATACTCTGCATTCTAATATATTTTTTCAAACAAAAAGATTAAGTCTGCAGAATAAAGATTCACAGAGAATTTAGACTTGCCAAGTGGGTTAGAGTCTGAACAAATAAAAATACTTCTACATTTCGCAATGTATCGTTTATATCAAAGATTTGTATAATTTAGTTTGCCAATATGAGAAAATTAGAAATATGCTTTACGATTGAACATTTAACTGATTAAAAGCAATCTGTACAGAAGAACTAAGACAAATTTTCATAAACAATTAAGAACATATTACAATGTTTGAAGGAAGTAAAGTTTAGTTTGATAGATTGAGAAATGAATGTAAAGCAATACATTTCATAAAATAATGGCCAAGTAAAAAATCAAGAATTTTTCGTTCAACTACATGTTATTCTAAACTAGAATTGTTGAACGATTTCGGTCAATAAGTGATAATAATAGGAACTGTAACTCGTTCGATATAAGCAGTATTTCTTGAGTTGAAGTAATCTTTTTTGTGTCTTTCACTTGATCAATTTACTTCTAGTTCGATTCTGATTTTGTACGGATGTACTCATCATTTGATCGAATTTCAATGTCGATCGTAACATCTATACATTATCATGAAAATGCATTTCTTTTTTTATTCTTTTCTTACAACGACAACAATGAATTAGAAAATAAAAACATCATATAAATTGCAGATTATTTTGACTGATAGTAAATACATATCCAATCATTTTTTAGTAATGAGAAGAATCAAAATATATACTTGGATAAGTATCGATACGAATGTTTTAACATAGAAATATTAAACAATTTCATGAAAGAACAATGATTTCAAACATCGTTTCTATGAAATTTAATTTTTTCACTGATCATGACTTTATCCATCGTTGTTATAGTATAATTAATTAAGATCCTAAAAAGCTTCATCATTCAAGTTACAATACAATCTGTTCATAATAAATAAACAAATTGATAAACAGAAGATATAATTAAATTTATGTTTTCTTTAAAGAGTTTATTTTATTTTATCTTCTTGCATTATTGTAAAAGTTATGCATTGATAACTTTCAAAGTTATTTTTTCTTTTCCAGATTAAATGGTTTTTATTTTTTCTCGTATTTTTCGACGTATGATATCAACAAATCCTACTAGTAACTTTGTCACTTTATCTAATCGTCCGATTGTTCAGACTAACGGTGAAACTGTTCAAGGGTCACTTAAGCTTCACTATTGGGAATGGCAAGGTCGTCAACCTAGTATACTTTTTTGTCATGCTGCATCATTTCATGGTCGATGCTATGATCGTATTATTAATGAAGCTTTACATGGTTTTCATGTAATTGCTTTAGACTTTCGAGGGCATGGTCGATCACAAACACATCCTCCTCCTTATCATTTTCGATGGCATGGAGAAGATGTTTTACAATTTATTGAAACACTCCATCTTAATAAGGACAATCTTATTGGTATTGGCCATTCTCTGGGTGGATATGCCTTGATTTGTGCTGCAGCAATAGCGCCCAGGCGACTATTTCAATCATTACTCTTACTCGATCCTGTTATTCTTCCTTCTTCGATGTATGAAGACTATGATAGTTATTCGTCTAGTGTAGATTTCATTCGTCGTCGAAAAAACCAATGGTCATCTATTGAAGATATGATACTAAACTTAGAAAAACGCGAACCATTTTCACAATGGCCACAAGATACTCTTCGTAATTATTGTACTTATGCTCTTGATGAGAATAATAAACTTGTATGTTCACCTGATGGAGAAATATCAATATATAAAACAAGTGCGCTTCCTGAATCAAATTTATATCCATCAATTGAAAAATCAAAATTTATTAAACATATTCCAATTCACGTTGTAAGATCATCACTTCCATGTGGTAAAGGTCAATTTGAAACATCACCAACAGAACCTGATCTTGTAAAATGGTTTCAAAAAGGACGAGACACACAATTAGAAAATTCAAAACATTTTTTTCCAATGGAACAACCACAAATAGTAATTGATCTAGTGAAAGAATTTATGGAAGAAAATAAAAAACTATTCTCACATCTATAATTGCTAACAATGCAATAATACATTTTTGCAAACGTCATCATAATATGACAATGCACTTTTATTGACCTTATAAAAAGCTATGTAATACTTTGATTTTAGATATATCCGTGAAGCAACGAGAGAAATGGCATCAACAAAACCGATTGCAGTTGTTATTGGTAAGTGAGAACCCTCAAAAAAGAATTTTTTTTTATTTGAATTAATCTTGATTATAATTATAGGTGTAGGCCCAGGTTTAGGAGCATCATTAGCCAAACGGTATAATCTTATCTATAGCATTTAGCTAACATAAAAAATTGCTTTTTTTAAAGATTTGCAGCTGGTGGTTATTCAATTGGTCTTATTGCCCGAAAAGAAAGTAGTTTAGAACCTATACAAAAAGAACTCGAACAACAAGGTTATACAGGTGAATAAATTTTATTTTTATCATGTATACATATATATATATATATATTGATATTAAAATAAATATTATTTATTATAGCATTGAGTGTTACAGCTGATGCTGGTGATGTAACATCAGTAAAAAATGCTTTTAATACAATTCGAACAAAACTAGGAAGTGATCCTGAAGTATTATTATACAATGCCAGTGGATTTGCTTATAGTAAATTGAATATTTTTTATATTATTTTATTTTTTGTGTTTTTCTAATCAATCATCATTTATTGTGTATTAAAGAAAGTATTTTGGATTTGAAACCTGAAATACTTCAACAGGCACTTAATACAAGTGTTATTGGTGGTTTAGTTGCCAGTCAGGAAGTAAATGCAAACGAGAAGAAAGTTTTATTTCTGATTAAAGTTTTTCATAGGTTCTTCCGACCATGATCAAAAATGGAAAAGGAACAATATTGTTTACTGGTGCTACGGCTAGCCTTCGTGGTTCAGCTAAATTTGCTGGTTTTGCTGCATCAAAATTCGCTTTACGTGCATTAGCTCAATCAATGGCTCGGGAACTTGGTCCACAAGGTATTCATGTTGCTCATATAATTATTGATGGAGAAATTAACACACCTGGTCAAGTTCAAAGTAAGATTTTTTTTTTTGCCAAAAAGAAAAACTAAACAACAATTGATTTCTTACTTAGGTCAACCTAATAGAGATATTGACTCATTTCTTAATAGTGATGCGGTATGAATTATTTAGCATGTTGACTTTTTTTTTTTTTTCATTGAATAGAAGTTTTATTTGTTTTTAGATTGCTGAAACATATTGGCAATTACATATTCAACCTCGTTCAACATGGACACAAGAACTTGATCTTCGTCCTTCAGTGGAGAAATTTTAAAATTTGACCTTCGTCTTTTGTTTTCAAAATTGTATAACTCTTTTTGATTATATCTATTATTAAATTCGTCCTTGATTACATGACTATTCTAACAATAATTCGTTTAATTACATAAATAAACAAGAAAAAGTTTCTGTGAGGTCAAGTATATTGGATTTTCTTGTACTTTATATATAAGTTAAAATGTCGAAGGTTAACGTGACGTTTGTTTCTATTCTTAGTATTGACAGTATTACAAGATAATAAATGACTGACACCTGTAAGAAATAATAAATATATATTTTTGTCATAGTTTTCAGGCCTGTTAATTTATTAAAATATAAGTCAGAAATCTTTATTTTCTGATAAGTCGGCAAAGAATGTGATGAAAAACCTTTTTTGAAAGCGGTTTTGTTCGATATGATAGCTAGCTTCATTTATTAGTTGTCTCTCTACACTATTGTGAACGTACTGGAGCGAACGAACTTTTTATGCATTTTATAGAAGTTTGTTTGTAATACACACGATAGCAATTACGCGTTGAATTATTTATATCGCTAAAAGAAATTAAAATAATATCTGTTTTTGTTCAAAGCATCTACTATATATTCGACCATTTAATAAATAATTGTCCATTTTTATTAAAAACAAAAATTTATATCTTGTGGTAAAATTAATGATATTTTAGAGATGAACAGAAGATCAGAAGTAATTTAATAAAGCATTTAAAGTTGTGCCACAAGTTCATCGTTGATAAAAAAATATCATTATATTATTACTAACGTAGAGTTATATTCTATATTTGGATCAATATTTTCATGTGATCTATTTTGTAAATCAAGTCGAAATTGAATTCAAAACTACAGTTTTATTTCCTATTCGAACTAATTCTTCAAGTTGTCAATCTCTAGATGTTAAAGACGAAGAGTATTAGGTGTTATGAGAAATAGTATCAAGAGAGATATAATAATGATAATAGTTAAATTTCATGTTAATATAAATTGCATATTGATAATTTCATTTAAAACAAAATTAGAATCGCAAAAAATAAAAATATCTATTTCGATTGTTACTTTATTTATTCATTTTATTCAACAGATCTATCTGAGTTATAAATATATTAATAAAGGTTAATACATTGATATCATTAAAATCAACTATAATGACAAATGAAAACAAGTTAATCAATATACTTTTATTCGATGTTCATGAAATAACATTATATTTTGTTGGATTAATCTGCAGAAAAAAGTTTTCATAAATTTTTTATTCATAATAAGATAAAAACAAGTTGAACTCTTTAAACATGTAATTTATATTCAAAAAGAAAACTCATCCAATTCATCATTTTCTTGGAATATTGAATAAAAAATTACGTCATAAATTTATTATATTCTCCGAAATGTATTTATTGATAAGCAAAGTGACTTGACGTTCGGGATAGGGGAATTGTAAGAATAAAACGTGCTCTTTACTTTGAGAAAATTGTCTTGTTTTTCCAGAAAAACTCGTTTTGTTTTCAATTGAAAAAAAGACATCGTAGTATGAATAGAAACTTTTCAGCTTTGCCACTTAAAAACAATTGAATATGCATTTTTTTTCTAGCTCTAAACCTCTCTCTTGCGCTCTTCTACCATTTCTCTTCTTCGTCAGATCGCTGGATAAACACATGAATAGTTTGCTCCATCGTACTAGTAAGAATATGAATGTTATTATATATTTGTCTATCGATGTATAAGTTCAGTGTTTCGAAGAAAAAAATCTATTTTTTCATATTTATATACAAGAAATTTTTATTTTTAATGCAACACCAATGTAATCTGATTTAATGACGTAATTACTATTTATAGTTTAGTTCGAACAGTCAGAACTTATTTCACGCTTCATAAGGAAGCTATAAATGATCATTGAATTTCTTCAATTTCGAGTAGGTTTTTCTTATTTTAATTGTTGATATAATAATCAAACTAATGATTTCGTAATTGCATTATCCTTACAAAGTGTTTGACAAGACAACCTTAAAAAAATTAGTTAGACTATATTAAGCATAGTGATGATAGAAAATAATAATGTGACCGATACATTTAGCAGATGTCAAATATGAGTTTGGTAAATGTTTTCTTTTAGAAAATGACTAATAAGAAGTGACGAGGACCCTATAAACTATGAGTTGCCCTTATCTATCATGAGACGCAAAAAACGTTTGACTAAGTCATGCACATAATGGAGCTATGCCTTTGTCGTAAGTGTCGTTGTTATTTGACTTCAAATTGAAATTCTTTCTGATTGAAATCAAATAAAATTGGTCATGACACGTACAAGCCCATGTAAACATGACACGATAGAAAAGAAATATTTTTGTTTCCCGTAATTGTAGGTATAAAAAAGTGATAGTATTTTTTTTCTCTTCTCCTTAATCTTATAGACAAAATTACTGAGAACGCTTGCAGAAAGCATAGCATTATTATTAGCAATATAAAGCGTAGGAGTAAAATTGTAAGTGTCTATCTATTGTGCATTGTTCCAACTACTGAATATGTATGTATATAATTTCAATAGAAACAAAGTACGCGGTTAGCATATTTTTTCTACTTAAATTGCTGCATATAAACATTTGTACTTTAATTCCCCATAGAAAAATGCGTCAATCAATTTCAATGTTGTGACAAATTATATATCAATATTTAAGTCAGATCGCAACAGGATACCGCAGATGAGGTTTAAGAAAGAGAGAGCGAGAAAAAGAAATATAAGAGATGTTGAATATGTTTACATCGAAGTATTAAAAAAACGTATAGTCGTCGCATATATTATGTATATCATTCGTCTTGATAATTAAAGTTACTATGAGCAGCAATGAGACAAACCACATTGAGATCATTTTGTATATTTTATAAGGTAAAGACAAATAGATTATAGGGTCTACATTTGTTTGTACACATTTGAGTGGCGTAGGAGTATCTGTCTAGTAGAGATGTAATTTAGATTCGTATCTTAACATTCTCGTTGATGTTAAAAAACCAATCTATCTATGTCTTATTTTTTCTCAAAAAATCTTTTGCTTACGTAAGCAACTTCTTTTCTTTTATTGCTTAGCTTCATATTTAGATTATTATCGGTTCATTAACTCGTATCACTCAACATACTAGTTTATATTCAAAACAAAACCACATTATAGAAATATAATAGGTATACTTACATATGTTAACGACAAATAATATTTTTTTTCCATCATAAATTACGCAGAATTAATCCGGTAGATTGACGTCAAAGATTGATCAATAATGTGGGTGAATTCTTTACCGAAAAACAATTATTCTTTTCAAGCTTTTGCTTTGTTTTGTTTGATATTCATGTTTACGTAACTAACTAACATTAGTCAAGTTGACATTATGCACGAGATTGCTGCTATTGAGATAACATAACATACCAAACGTATGACTTTTTCAAAAGGTAAACATTCAATAATGGAAAACTCGAGAAAGAATATATTGATAAAAATAACCTACGGACGAGAATATATTTGCTAATTTTATCAGTTGTTCTGCTTTTTTTCCATCTGTGATTATATAATAGATCATGCTTTAAAAAAGCACTGTCATTCTTATTTTAGATTATTTTTTTTCAATTAATATTCTTAAAAAAGATCAAGATGAATTTCTTTATCAGTGTTGTATCATGTCTTGTTATGTTAACAATCACGTATTCAATTCATAGTCACCCATTAGTTATTTCTTCGAAGTAAATTTCTTTTAATTGATTTTTATTTTTATTCATGATTTCATATCTATTTTTAGTCATAATAATCTAGTTTCAACTCAAATTGATAGACTCTGCTCTTATATATCATAGTAAGTTTAATGTTGAATATATTTATTTCCATTTGGAATTTATTATTTAGTTTACAAAAATATTCAATGGATGCTAAAACAATAAAATCTGAAATACCGTAAATTGTGTTTTTTTATATGTGTTTGAAACTTTAAAGTTTTATTTTTTTATTAAAAAAAAAAAAAAACAAGGAGGAAACGTTTTGTTATACCATTTCCTGATATGAACAGATTTTTATCCACAAGTCATAAGCTTCATCATCATGATTCGAATTCAAAGACTGGAACTAAATCAAACAACAAAAAACACGATTTTCATGCTTATTTATGCAGGTAAAGAATTCTTATATTAAATTATTTAGCTTTTAAATTTATTGTTTTATTTAAAAGCATTTCAAAAGATTCTGAAGAAATGTCAAATTTTCTAAGTATTTTTATTGAAGAGCACGGTCAACCACCAGCTTTTAATATATTTGAATCATGTGAACAAGTGGCTAAACGGTTAGTTGTTATTGGAATTTTATTTTTCTCAATTAAAAACCTTATTTAATTTTAGTGATCAATTAAATTCGGATAATAACAATAATAATAATAAAAACAATGATCTATCATCAGTTGTTCGATTCAATGAATTATCGTATGTAAAATTTTTGAAAATATTTTTACTTAATTTAATTTTTGTTTTTTAAGAGAATTCTGTTCTAATCGATCACGAACGCAATTTACTAAACGATGGAGACATTCAGTCGAAGGACCAATATCAATTGATTTCATTCATCAAATGCTTGAATCTCGTAAAGTTAAATCTTATCCATATCCACCTGAAATGGATCCTTATCTTGTGTAAGTTAATAAATCATTTGATGCTTTTAAATAAAAACTATTTCATTGTTTTTTCTTTAGTGGTAGATAAATACTCAAGGTACAAAAGAAAAGAAATAGACGACATGAACAATATTCAATATTTGATTTTGACTTTGTTTTTTCTTGATTTAGAAGTAAAAGGAAAAAAGATCGCAACGATCGACAGCATGTATGCGATCAGATAACTAATAAACAAAATTGCAGAATGGTATCTGTAATTCTATTATGTTTCTTTCTTTTTTAATCTCTACTCTTGCTGCTGTTGTATTATCTTGTTTACTTTCAATAATGTACAATTTAATAATAAATCAAATATAATCATGAGTGAAAAAATATACAGAAACATATACTAAGAGAAATCTTAATTAACAAGATTTTAATTCATTTTTATATTAATAATGAAACAGATTACATTTACTATTTTAATCGAAGTACATCAATATTATTAATAAATATATTTATATGTTGACATTTTAAAAAAAAAAGCAGCATATTATCATTCGAGGTCATAATGGAATAGGATGTTCGCCACATTTTGAATAAGTCCTCGAACAGGAAATTATTTATGTTAAATTAAAAAATATTCTGATATATTAAAATTACGAAGCATTAAGCATAATTGACAAAAATGCTAATTGTTAAAGATTAGGCAAAGTTCAAGAAATATAGAATTAGCTAAAAATAATGTTGTACTTATTGTAGATAAGTGAAGGTTTTTTGCAATTTGAAACATTAGACAAATCTGTCACATTCATTTTTACACCAGTAATTTTATTATATAAAACATCGCAATGATATATTCCTATTTTTTTTTTCTTTCTTTCATAAACCTAATGGTGAATCGAAGACCAACCACTACATTCTGAAATATTTTATTAGAGAAACTGAAGCGTTAAGTGAAAAAAAAAAATTCAATGCCAAGATTTATTTTACTGTTAATCTCCTTGACAACTATTGGATATATTTTCTGTGAAAAATTAAATGCAAATATCGACATTAATAATAAACAAGAATATTGTTCAAACAAAGATGCTGATGATTCATTATGTGAAAACCAGGTTTGTATATGAATTATTGCCATCTATTGTTGAACAAACAAGTAAAGGAGGGAAAGAGATTGGATTTGTTTAACCTCGGCAATGATGTACACGTCACCACGTGTGTGTTTTAGTTGGTGAGCGAGCCAGCTGAGCAGATATATATTTTTTTTCTTTCTCGTTTATTTCTTACATTACACAATAGGCTTCTTTTTTTTTCTTTCTTTAAGAGCAAGGGGTTTATATGTCTACTGCTCGTTCGTCTCTTTCGTTATTTTATAATTTTACTTTTGCCTCTATATGGAAGACATATGCAAATGAAACGACATGACTTGATGCATTTACATATGTAGATAATTTTAAAATTAATTTTGAAATTATATTTTGTAGATTTTCGATCAACCATCATCATCCAAGCTTAGTAAATTAAATATGGCTGGTGCTTCTGAACGTACTTTTATTATGGTTAAGCCCGATGGTGTACAACGTGGACTTGTTGGTGATATAATTCATCGATTTGAACAACGTGGATACAAACTTGTTGCGCTTAAAATGATTCAAGTCAGATTAAAAATTTCTATTTTATATTTTGAAAAAAAATCTTTCTATATTTTAGGCACCTAAAGCTTTGCTTGAAAGTCATTATGAAGAACATAAAGGTAAGAGAAAAACAAGTTGTTAATTTTTCTGTAGTTAGAAATTTTTTATTTTTTAGGTAAGAAATTTTATGAACCACTTTTAACCTACATCGGCAGTGGACCCGTCGTTGCTATGGTATTTTGCTATATTTTCTTTAATCTTTAGAATCATTTTTTTTGCTTATATTTTAGGTTTGGGAAGGTTTAAATGTTATAACAGTTGGTCGTAAAATGCTTGGTGCTACCGATCCAGCTAAATCTGACCCTGGTACAATTCGTGGTGATTTTGGTATTGTTACAGGACGGTAAGATTTAATATTTACATTATAAAATTGAATTGAATTTTATTTTCTGCATTTTAAATTTTAGTAATATTGTTCACGGTAGCGACTCGGAAAGTGCAGCTAAACGTGAAATTGATTTATGGTTCCGACCAGATGAAGTTTCCAACTGGGTACATACAGCCGAACGATGGATCTATGAGTGAATAAAGTGAAACTCAAGTGGAACAGACAAAAATGATTTAGACTATTTCAAGCTTCTTAATAGTTTTTTTTTGTGAATTACATTTATCGGTTTCACCGTTTGTGTTTGTGTTCTTTCCATTGTCTGCATTCCGGGAATTAAAAAAAAAAGAAACAAAATATATTTCATTGAAATTCAAATTTTTATTTGTTTTAAAAAAATTTTCTTCGATTGCATTGATTTATAGTCAATAATGAAAAACAAAAAAGATTTGTGATCATCTAACTTTATATTTTAAAAATTAGTTTATATTTTATTGATCTATATTAAGTTCATCGACGATGTTGTAACCAATCTTCCAATTGTTCTAAATGAGTTAAGATTAATTCGGCAAAAAGAGAATTAACCCAAGCAAACCTACAATTATAAAAAAAATAAATAAAAAAATAAAAACTTTTTCATGTTGATTTATTTTACCATTGACGAGTAAATTGTTTTGGATTATCAACATTAAAACTTTCATGCATAGAAAATGTATCAGCATGACTTATCTCTAATCTTTGCCATACAGAATCTATATCTTTAATTGTATTATTATCAATACTAATAGTTAATCCTTCCATAATAATAGCCATTGGCCAAACAGAATTTTTTTGTGTATGTTGACTTCCTATACCCCATGCATATTTTCCTTGAAAAAAAAAAGTATTATTTGTTGATAAAATAAATCGACGTGTTGATTGAATTAATTGATCTGATGGATCATAAGGTGTTTTAAAACCAAGATAAGATGCTGATAGTAGAGATGGTACATTAGCATCATCAATAAGTAAATGTTGAGAAAAACCATCAGTTTCAAATGCATATATTCTTCCATATTGTTCATGATTGACTACTCCATATTTGTTTATACCAGAAAGAATATCTTCACGTAATTGAAAAATCTAAATAATGAAAATAGAAAAAAAACAACTCAGTAATTTATTTTTATCTTTTATGATGTTGTAATCAAATTGCTTTATTATATCAACGACAATTAGAAGCAATCAAATAAGATTATTAGTGAAATCTGTTTAAGGATAGAGTCCTGTAAAACAGTCGCAAATCCCGAAAAATCTCGTTTGTATCATTCCGCAGAACAATCATGACCGAGATAATTCTAATCGTTTCGGAACGGGACAATTCTAAGAATATCGGGATGGGACGAACGAAATCCAGGACAATATAAAAGAAAATATTGTTCCGAATTTCTTTAACCTTTATATCAAAAAATGTCGTAGATTTAAATTTTCTTTTATTACGAACAAATATCTTCATATTTAAATAAGTAACACAAAAAAAAAAGAAGGGACAAAAAAACTAAACTGTCACTCGGTCAAAGTTCGAGTAGAAAAGACAGCTGGTTGCATGAGCCTGAAAAATGTCATGGCGTAATTCTTTACGACATCTGCTATTTCTAAATCATAGATTTCTGTTGAAACAATTATAATGAACTTCTATTGCATTGAGCATTCTTGAGTCAGCTGCAAGACTAACAGATAATGAACCGGAACCAATTATTACCATCTAACGGAACTATTACATAAAGTAGCTGAAACATCAATGGTCTTTTTCAGATGTAGTCACGTATGATCATATAAGAAAGCTTGCAGCTGTTAATTATCATTTTTCGCCTTCTTACAACTTAGAATGGAATTGAGTTTTTGAAAAACAGATCTCAGATGTGCACTCGCCATTTTCTTACGATCTCGACAAACTTTTTTTCTCATTTCAAAATGTTGACTAGATGTAAAGAACGAATAGTTGAATTGAATCGTGACTAATGTATCGAGAAAAAGAAGAAGAAAAATCTCTCATGACAACTAAGCAAGTGAAAAGCAAGAAGTCGGCAATTGCATTGTGCAGTCAGCTACCTTTCAGTTAACAGGACAAATAGGATTCACGATATGAAAAAGTTTGTTCCGCAGAACTCTCGCTTAAGACATAGCAAACATTAATGGTTCGACTTAATGTTATATACTGGGGAAAAAATAAGCTGCGGTCTGTATTTTAGGAATATCTTTATCATAACAGCGTATTTTTTTAAATCAGAATATATTCTGAAAGCACGTGGAGTTTTCTATCATCCTGTATATTTCCTTATATTCATTTATTGAAAAACAAATTTGAGTACAGTGAACACACCGTCAATTGACAGGTACCAAAAATGTGCATTTTTTATTGTTTCTGGAGTTCCCTTGTTACATTTATTATTTCAATGTGAAAATCTATTTTTAAAAAACAATCACAGATTCTGATAGAGCTTGAAATTCTCTATCATTCTGTATATATATTAACTATTCTGCAGTTATGTGCTGTATTTAAAAAAAAATACACTGTTATGATAACAATATTCCCAAAATACAGACTGCCGCTTATTTTTTTTTCCAGGGTTATACATGCATAATACTAGAAATCAATGTTGTCAGAATTTGTTCTAGGTTTTAAGTTAACAACAAGTGTTGACATGTGTTTCGAACAATCAAAATCATGTCAGAAATTAGTCTGACTGATATTATCACATTGATGGAAAATGTCGAATAGAAAGATCTTAGAAGATTATTTCTATCTTTTGTGTTAATTAGTATCATTTATATCAGATCAGTCTGAATTTCTCAAAATAAAGCTTTCATGATCATTCATAGAATAAATAAGTTGAATTTTTCATAGTAACTGAATAGAATTGTTATATTTATTCTCTTAAGGAATAATTCGAATACAAGACGGAGAATTAGTCTAATACAAATTATCATAGGCGATGCAGACTACACTTTCTAGGAGAAACAATAAATCTTTTTACACGAGCAATTATTAAAAGAATCATTTCAGTTGAAGACTTGCATTAATCAATTTATTTGTTTTAGAAATATTATTTTTGCGATAGAAATTTATTGACGAAAGTGTGTAAATCAATTTTAAGAACACGTTCAATGTAAACTAAAGATAAATTAAATAGTCACTCGTCACCCGTTGAGATTTGAGCATGGGTGGATGCAGAAATGATTAATACTTACCCCCACACACACTCAAGATGGTGATGCTGATGTTGCCTCAGCAGTTTCACTTAATATAATTGTTTCATTTTTATTCACAATAGCAATACTATTATATGTATCACATTTTTCTTGTAATGGAGTTTCTAGTTTTTCTGAAATAACAAGAAGTTTTAATTTTTTTTTTTCTACACATTTAGTTAATAAATTAAAAGCTAATCACAAAATTGATAGACATCTTCTTTCTATCTTGGATAAATAAAAAAGAAAGAAGAGTGATCTTTGTATTTCTACAATCATATGATATTAACTTATCAATCAACCTTTATCTTCCATAATAAAGATAGATATCAGACAGACGTGACAAAAGTACAGCCATACAGATAAAATGCAACAAATTTCTAATACTGTGTATCAGTATTTTTATACTAACTATTAAAAGTCGGGAGGGGGGGGGGGAAGCAGTTGCATCTTTTTTCTTCAGTGGTGCGCCTATTATATAAATTATAATAGATAAGATGTTTTAAATGTTTAATCTGTAGATTTCATCTCTTTTGATTTTTTTTCTATTAAACTCTATATTATTAGGTTATTCCATTAAGTATCACAACATTAAAACTAATGGAAATTCTATTAGACATCAATGAATAATGTTAAGATGCTAAATATTCATACTTGTTTTAAAAGTTGAATTTGTTTAGGAAATATTTTTGTAATCATTTCAGTTAATTGTTCTAACACAACACAAGCCATCATATTACTTGGTATAAGATATCCATAGTTTGTTGGATCATCACTTGGTCGAAAAGCACTCCAAGTCATTCCTGTATAAGCAACAGGTGAACCTTGATGTACATTAACTAATTCTGTATAACGATAAGGTGAAATTTGTGAATGATGTTGTTCGATAATCATTATCTGAATTATAATTGAAATAGCAGTTAACCATTGTTGATTAAATACATTAGTTCGTTGACTTTGTTTCCACCAAGAATAACTTAAACGTATATGATAACATAAACTATCTAATTCATAGTTATGCATAGCAACACGAAGATTACGACCTTTTTGAGTATGTATTGGTTCAAGAGAATCATCGGATGGAGGATTTGGACGAAGAGTTAAACGAAATGAACTTCCATATGGATCAGAAAAAATAAATTGAATTTGACGACGAATAAGACCTTCAACAATACGTTGAATATTTGAATCCTTCCATAATGTTAAATATTGATGAACTTGAGCACTAGATTAAAATTTACAAATTATTTATTATTATTATTTTTTTTTCTTTTTGCTTTCTTCTTACCTACTGTCACGTAACCACATAAGATCAATATCACCAGTTATTATATATGTTGTATTATCATCAAGTATTGTTGTTGTTGTTACAAGTGTATCTGCATAAGAATTGTTAAATAATTTACACCAAATATTTCCACCGGTTAGATTAGCTTGAATTAATCGTTTACAAACACGATTGATTTCATTTTTAACAGCTTCAGGTAAATTTGTGACTTTATACAAAGATTTCGGAATAGATTGATTTAAAAGTGAAGTAGGTTGATAAGGTACAGATGGATATTGTTCTGTAGGTATCCAAATCCATGGTTGATCATTAGAAGACATAACACTAGCTAACAATTTTTTTAGTTTTTCAAGTGCCCTTGTAGATCGCTCAATAGTACTTAGAGTATCATTTTCATAGTCTTCCGATATTGAACTAATTATAGATTGTTGTGATTTAGATGATGTTGAAGATTGAAAAAGGTCAGTAATAGGAAGTATATTAATTATAAAACTTATTCCAATTAATAAACATAAAAATTCAACAATTTGATGAATTTTTCGTCTTCGAATTAATTTGGGTAAACAACGAAAGCAACGAATATGATATCCCTGACAACGTCCATAGGAAAACATTTTGTTTAATAATAATAACAAATAAAAATTATTTGTAAGAAGACAAGAGAAAGGATTTTCCAGAGAGACGTGAATAAGACAAGATAAAAAAAACTAATTAAGTTTTTCTTTTTCCTATATTTAATAAAACCACGTGCAATATCGATATATTACTTAAATAAAAAACAACGATTACTCTCAGTTACATTTCTCTTTCATTTGTTCAGTATTAGATAAATATTTTTTCGCATAATAGATAAATCATTGCTGTAGTAAGGTGCATTTCATATCATTGACCGCTTTCAATTCTAATAATGGAAGATTTATATCTTTAAAAATATTCTTATTTTCGATAATTCATATGAATAATTATTCTAATCACGACAATTGTATAAAAAAAATAATTCAATATTGAGTCATGACCATTTGTAATTAAATTCTAAAAAGAAAACTTAATAGAACGTATATCTAATGCATATATACAGTGACTGTCAAAATTATTCACCCATCTCTCATACAACATCTTAGATTTTTGGTTATTCCAAAATTTTAAATACTACCAAGGTTTAAATTTTATCATCTCATAGTTTATGATGTTTAGTCTATATGTAGATATGATCAGCCTTTAGTTTGGTTTTGTGTTTGATCTTGTTTTTTTTGCAAAATAATAAAACGAAAAAAATTTTGTAATCATTGAAAATTATTCATCAAAATAAAAAGAAAACTGTGTAATCAGTTTATAGTTAATATTAGCAGAAGATTTTAGTTTTTTGCAAATATTACCTACACTATTAAACGCACATTTTAGCTGAAATATTGTAAAAAAATTCATAAAAAAAACTCTTCTATAGATAAATCAACTTAATCAAACATTAGGCCTAACGAAACAAATTTTTAGCGGTATGGTTAACACAAAGTTTATAATCGAACAGAGCAAAATCAAAATGTGCTACTCAGTATCAAAAATAAATTGAGATAGAATTGTCATTTGCTTTTAATAGTTCAGTTATAATTCATGTGCTTGCGTCAGAAAGATAAAATAAATCTCATGTCATCTCATTTTTAGCGACTGCTGCGCAGCTACACCGTAACTACGATCGAACTGTGATCCACAGATGCAAAAAATTGCGACGCAACTACACGTAGTAACGAAAAAGAAATCGTAATTACGCGCAACTGCAATTTTTTTCATCGTAACTACGTGCTACTGCATCTCAATTCGATCGTAATCAAAACAGTATGAAATGTTACAAAAACATATGTGCCAAAAATTAAATAAATGTGAGTTGATGCCACGAGAGAAGGAGTTGATTTTTAAGTTTTGTTTTTATTAATCTTAAATCAAAGAAATCACTTACTCTAGAACAGTCTTGTGTTGTTCATTTTGTGTCTTGATTCTAACTATTTTATTATAATTTAATCCTATAGCTAGAATTTGGCTGTTAAAAGAAGACGATTCGTAAGTTTAGAGCATTAGTTCTATACAATGAAATAAAGTGTGTCGCAAAGTACGACATTTGCGACACAATATACAACACATTAAAAAGCGATGCAAGATACTCGTTGCGACATATTTTGAAAATCTGGTTTGAATTTAGTCTTCAGCATATTTGTCGTTTTTTCTGCCAAAGCAAATAATTACTGTTTCTTCAGTTTCATTCGAATTAATGATACTTATTCCTAAAGTGCAAGACTATCCTTTCTCATTCATATCGATCGACCTATCGACATATTCTCGATCAATAAATAATCGAGAAATCATCTAGAAAACAAAGATATACGAATGTATACCAGTGCATTATGTTCGATTTAAGTTGTCTGCATGTAACTGTATACAAAGCAAATCGATGAATGAATACTAAGCAAACAGATTATAAGACCTTCGTAATACGAGACATGCCGGCTGCAAAACATTTTTGTGATCGAGTCTACAACATTACCTTAACAATTACAATAAAGTTACTTTTTCGATTTTTCTGAATTTTTTGAATAAATTACTTCTTTTAATTTAAAATTGACAGCAAATTAAAAAAATCAGCTTAATCGAAAAACATATCACCGTAGAGGTGTTCTAAAGAATAAGTTTCCAGACGTTGAAAACTGTACATTCGGAAATAGCATGCATATTCAATTAAATTCATTACCATTGAAATTTTGAAAGGTTACCTCTGCACTGAAACGAAAAGA